GCATTTTAGGGTTTTTTTTTTTCGCCACGAAAGCGTTTTATTTGCATGTCTGCTTGGGGCATTTGCATAATTGTTAAACAAACAAGTCTGTAAATGCTTTGGGCACTAGCCAAATGATACAAAATTAAGGGAAGGTGGGCTATGCAATAACTAAATAAATTTTAGATTTATTTCAGATTTATTTTCATTTTTTCTGTTTACCTCAAGAACCTTTAATATCCATTTGCTTGCTCCTGATTAAATTACTGATGCAATCTATTAAATGTTGAACTTATCGCAGCTCTAAATCAATAAGTCTATATATTAGCCCCTACCAACACACACACACACACACACAGACACACACAGACACAGATGCACATAAAAAGCCATTCAAGCGTTTCATAATGATATGAGAAAAGGAAGAGCGTGTCGAGAGATGGGAAAAAATAGCTAGCCCAACACATTGCCTCAACTCATTTTCGCATAAAAGGACGCCAATGTGTCGGGGCTGGCAAAAGGCCAAAAATGGTGTGCACACACACACACAGCGCTCTCTCTTTCTCGCTCTTTGCCTGCTTCCTATATAGAGCCATTGGTACGTGGCAAACAATAAATATAGGAGTATGCTGCCAGCACAAGAGACCAACTAAATTATCAGTAATATTGGAGCACCAGGATAACGCTGTGTGTACCCTTCGCTGGGCGTGGCAAATAAACACATCAGCCAAAATGCTTTTTACTTAAATTAACACAACACCGAGCAGCTTGGCTCGCGTTTTGGACTAAGCGGTCTGCACCCATTAACTTTCATGTGTGTTCGCTGCATATTGTCGGGAGTCTACTAAACGAGATACATTCAAGAGCTGCCACAGCAGGAAAATCAATGTAAATTGCACAGAATAACGCCAGTGGGATGCTCTAACGCAGGCAGCAATGAACAAAATCAATTCGAATTATATTTATATATTTTGGCCATTTATTAAAAATGCAAAGAGCAAATGCACCATTTTGCATAGATATTTTCTGACAGCAATAATTTGACCACATAGAAATATTCCATTTGTTACTCATTAACATTGAGGCAGTTTTTATTTATCATCAAATTGATTTTGATTTTATTTCCGTGCAGTGAGATTCGAGCAAGAACTTGATTGGTTATGCAGGCGCACATCAATAATTGAATTTGGCCAAATTTGTTGATGGCACAGAGAATTACGTAATGGCATCATAATACCCAACTCGCTAGGGTATAGCAGAGGCAGAGCTTCAGCTGCGCCCCAATCCTTCCTGCTATGGCATACTTAAGCAATCGAGGCAAATGTTTTATCGTCACTTTGCCATACAAATACGCACACATACATGTGTCTATATACTCACAGTATACACAGTTTATATGTATAGATGTGCGTGCGTGTGTGTGTGTGGCATACAAAATGGCGCCAGTTGCCTTGTGCCTTTGGGCTCTGCATCTCTCGGTTCGCCTCAATCTCAATCGTCAGAAATGTCCATCAACGCACGAATGAGTGGGAGTGGGAGTGTGAGGGCGAAATGGCAGAAAAAGGGATTGCCATTGAGGGTGCAAAGATACGGCCAAAGACAAGCTTTAGCAAAAACTAAACAGAAACACCAAATACTTATTGTTCAGACGAAAATGTTTAATAACGTCCCAAGACCTCTCCCTCTCTCCTCTGGCATTGTAAATTTAATAAAGCTGTGCGTAAATAGCAAGGATGAGGGTTGAAATCAAGAAGCCAGAAATTATTTGGTTACGCAATTACCACAGCAACACAACCAGTCAGGTTCAATAGGCTTAAACAATTTTGCCCCGAAAGAACCGGCGCCCTCGGAAAACAAACAAATAAATTCAATGGCAAAAGAGGCAACAACTTTTCAGGCCCAAAACACACACAAACACAAATAGTGAAAGTTTAAGTCAAAGCAACAAAAGCCGTCTTCTAAATTGCCACAAAATGTATGATTATTGTTGAATATAAACAGCAAATGCGCGAAAATAAAGCTGCATGAATGGGCCAGAATGGGTAGAGAGGTTCTAGTTGAATGAATGTACAAATGCCTTTGTTCTCTGGGCGAAATAAATAAATAAATGAGTTTGTCTACACCACTTCAAAGAGCAACAAAATCAAACTGTTCAATGGCCGCAAAAATGTAGCCAGCTCTACATAAGGGTGGGAATTTTGATAGAAAATCTGCAGAGTTGGAATCATTTTATTTTGGCGGCTTACCCGCGGAAACTAAACAAATTTCAAATAAAATACCCAACATAAACGAACTATTTTTGAATTTATTTGCGTTTATTTATTGTTTACTCACTTGTCAGCAGATGATTTATGTCAACATTTATTTATCCGCTGCCCTGCAGAGGATTAAGCCATCCAGGAGGCCATGGCCATGGCCATGGCCACAGAACGGAACTGCAACTCAATCACAGACACTTTGAAAGAATTTATATTTATTGCACTTGCTGCCGAGCGGATCAGATCAACGCAGCCCCAATACGTCCATCAAAATATGTGGAGAATATGAGCAATAAATAAAATATAAACCGCGTTGTACATTGAATCAATTCGCGTTGACTTGCTGGCCACAAAAAGCAGCACAAAGTGCCATCAATCAAGCGTAAGACACAAACAGAAATGGGACAACAAGGTTGAGCGCTCAAACTGCACATGGGCTTAAACATTTAATTAAAAATGGTCTGGCACCAGGCAATATTCGTCAAAGTGATTGGCCTCGAAAGCGGCTTAGGGAACTCAAGTAAATGAAATGTTATGGCTGCTGGAAAGACGGTCTTTAAAACAGCACACAAACCGAATCGCAGTAAACACCAACACCCTGGCGAGGGTGTTGTGCCTGCAGGAGCATGGCGAAATTTGCATATTTTAAATTACTAGTGGGGTCTCTTGGCCGCGATTGCTTTGGGTTGGGGTTGACAATGCCAAGACAACTCCAATTTATATGTCATTTGTTGGCAGTTACTCAGTCTCCTCTCCAGGCACACACACACACACATAATTGCACTCATAAAATGCCAAAAGCCTAGGATGGAAGGAGAGGGTATGCCAGAAGTGCTGGTGACTCTCGGCAGCTTGTAATCTGCTGCCACATTCGATGGCAGCCCTGGGTCGATGGGAGACATGGGAGGAGGCAAGCAAACAAACAAATTATGTGCTCATTTGAATACACATTCTAATGCGAATCACGTTGACAAAAATTCATTGATGCGTGCAGGATACGCACACACATAAAGGATATACGGATGAGGATACCTTGACTTTCGAACCGTACGGCATCCAATCAGCCGTGGCAGTCAGGGGAAGCAGAGCCAGTGTGGGTCGGGCTGGGCAATGGCAAATTGTCTTCACCTCGGACGCTGACAAGGACATATTTGTAAAGCGCTCATTTCGAGCTAAGCACATAGTGGAACACACACACACAATATCCAGTTAGTCTATCAGGACATGCTGCAATGTGTAGAAAATAAAATGTGCTCCCAGCCCCGCCACACACACGGGACGTGTGTGTGTAAATGCAAACTAAATAAGAACCAGCGCCAGAGCCATACGCATTAAGTCGATTGCTTCAAGGACTTTCTCGCGCGCTCCATGGCGCTTTGTCATTCACACCCTGTTACCCAGTCCCCCGGAGCTTCATTCCTCATTGTCTGCTCGATTCCCGCTCGCTTTTGCTGTTTCCTGAAGTGTAAATGAGACGCTCCGCCATCCGGCAGCTGAAACTCAACCATCCTTGGTAGAGGATCTCCACCACCATCTCCACCTGGCCATGCATGTGCTGGGAAGGCTTTTTAATAAGCAATTTATTTGTAGCTTAACAACGCCGTCGTCCTCATACAATGAGATACGCGGTGCCTAAGCGGCAGCTTACAATTCACTTGCAATGATTCCCCAGTCACTCCCGCTGCGGCAGTGTTTGCCCACGATAATTAATTTTTTGGCCTACCCCAAGCACGAAGCTAAGACCATGAGTTTGTCCCCGCATTAAAAGGAAATTAAAATGTTGCCATTCTGCCCCTTCCCCCCGGCATCTTCCACCGCGCCACATGTAATGAGCTTTTGGAGACAACTCGACTTCGACTTCGGCAGAGAATTGTGGGGCATAATGATGAGGAAAGAACAGGCCATAAGTATCCGATATGTTTGAGAAGATAGAAGCAAAATACCTGAAAAATATTGCAGAATAAAATAATTGTGTGGTATCCTTCGCCACTTTGTCAGGAGCGCTTATAAAAACCGTGCTTTACCTTCATATGGCCACAAATGGCTGGCATTAACATGGTGGGTGGGCGGCGTTGCCAGCCTACTCGTAAATCAATTTCGTTTTTATTGCGAATGCCGTTTGTCAGTGCTGCGTGTACGAGGGTACACACGGCCATTGCCAGCGATTTTTGTGGCCATTTTTGTGTCGTTCAGTTAATAAACCCCCTGAAACTCTCGGTTTTACTTTTGGCCCCGCAGGCGCATAAATATTGTTTTTAAACCTGTATGAAATATGGCATACGATTTTGACGAATCGGCGGCCATATGTACATGTGTCCGCTTATAACATTCACAAATAAATAAACAAATGTTAATAATGAATAAATAAAGCCAGACACAAGCACATGACAGCGCGCTGCCGCAAAAGGCACAAAGGAAAAACAATTTAAGCAAAATTTGAAAACTTACTTCAAAGCCATGGCGCTGCTTGTGATTTGCATATTTAATTTGATTTGCATACAAAAACGTAAAAAACAGTTACGAAATTCAGCATTAATTCACCTCAACCTTTGACTTGGCATCGGGGGTAAAGTCAGTGAACCAAAAGAAGTGAGGGAAAAGCAGCATTAAAGGCAGAAACAGAGCCACTGTTTCACATTATCTTTAACATTTAACATTAAATTTTCCATCATTTCAAATCCATGCTCAAGTGTTGGCAATCTTTTGAAGGGTATTGCAAAGTCGTTGCCCTGCTGGAACGTGTCTTAAAGCCCAACTACATACCTTTTTATCGTTTTAATCATCCACGGCTTAAATGTCCGCCAGAAACCTGTAAAAAAATGGAAACAGACAATGGAATGAAAAAACGCAGAAAGGGTTTCTTCCATATTAGAAATGTATTCAACTTTTTGTTCCATTTTGTTTTGTGCCTCGTTTTTTTTTTTGTTTTTTTTTAATATAAAATGGCTTTGGCTGGGAAATTTTGTTAGGCTCGTCCTGAAGGGAATATGTAAATATGTGCTGGCTGCTTTTGGTGCCTTCACAGCAGCATGCACGGAATTTAAATTTGCAGCTAAGCCTCCAAAAATGTGCCTCGGACTCGACTCGACTCGACCCTTTTTATGCGAGGTTCTACCTCGGTGAAGCGAAGTATGTTGTGGTCCTAGGGATGAATGTAACAGCAGCCGGAAGCACTTTCGATAATGTAAAATAACCTTGGACATATCTAGCACCTCTCTTCAGGCACAGCTGAGGTTCACATTTCTTTTGTTGCCTGGGTATCCCTTCAGTCGAAATATCACATTCAAATAAGGTTTGTGCTCGTGGCTGTGATGTATCTTTGGTGACACAGGGACGGAGGACAGCTCGACGGGGATAACAATAAAATTATATATTCTATTTAATGGCGCCGAAGTATTCCAGTCGCGTCGCAAAACTTTTCCCTGGCTGTCCTCGAAACTTGATGCATTCCTTCATGGACAAGGGCGTAGTTTGTCGCAAAGATTTTCGATACCTCCTCGAACTTTGTTTGTCGACTAAATTCGTGACTTTTGCTCCCATGTTTTGTATTCATATTCATATCTACCTTTCAAAGGTTGAGCTGCATTCACATTATTACAATTCTGATTGTCAGCTTATAGGCCTGGGGGCCCCTGTGGATGAGCCCAGAACCAGCCACGTCTCTGTCCTCGCCAGAGGCAGGCAAATAAAACAGATTTTATTGACGGCCGGTCCTTGGCATCCCTTTTTATTCGTATTCTCATTTTTGGTCCGACATTTTGCTCCTTTTTTTTCGGGCTACCCAAAGACTTATCTACGCTGCTTTGGATGGGGCTTATGTTCTGTTTCTGGTTGGGTCTGCAAAGCAATTTGGTGTTTCATATAAATTAAGCAGATAATATAAATTAGATGGGATCGAGTGTGCCAGTGTGATCAGATACGGAGGGAGGGCCGGGCCTCTGTCTGTAAAAATCGATGACACAAAAAATGCCTCAATTAAGCTTGGAAAATCGTTTCTGTACGGAGCAAAGCAATATTTCCCCGATGCTTCAATTCCTGCCCCATAATATTCTCTACTCAATAGATATTTAATACTCAACAGAATTTGTTGTTTGCCCCCCCGTCTACCCTGGAGGGTAACCGCAACCCAGCCTTGGCAAACAGAGTCTAAACTTTTTCCTTCCCTCGTGCTTCGTCCTTCCTCCTGGTCGTAATGAGTGGAGGAGTGATGAGGTCTTGGAGGCTCAACATTTGTTTATGCAATCTTTTCGTTGATGTTTTTTTTTAGCACCCTATTAAACGTCTTCGTGGGTAGATCGGAATTGGCAAAATATTATGGGAAATAATAAAATACAAATAAATTCTAAATATGAATAAATGTTCCAATAAAACATCCAATCCGATCAAAACCATAAAGGTACGCATCAAAATACTCTTCAAGGAGTATGCCCTAGTCGATATTTTCATGCCATGACCAACCCCCAAGCTGGAGGCAAAGTTTTAAAGGCGTCCGCGCCCTTGCAGCACTTACAACTCACTTGGGGTGGTAGGTTGGGTTTTGCATTGGTTTGGGGTTGCCTGGTTCCTGGTTCCTCCGTGCCTCCGTGCCTCCGTGCCCACACCCCAGGCCAGAGGGCAGGCATAATTGCGCCTCGTCTGAGGCACGCAAAATGAAAATATTTGAAGCTGCGAACTTCTCAAGTGTAAAAAATTTAATTTCGAAATGTAGGTTTAACGAACGGAAATTGCTTTCGCTCTCCGCTGAAAGTGGAGTAAGCCCTTGCCGTTGTCGTGGTTCTTATTGTTGGCGGCTGGCTTTCCCCTCAGCGTGGAACAGCCGAAAAAAAAGGAGAAGCAGCCAAAAAAATGTATCTCATTTGGGTTTTCATTTTACAATTTGTTTTTGCCAACTTTCTGATGGGGCTCGTGTCTCATTGAAATTGTTTAATGTTTTACTCGATGCTGCTCTTGTCTCTGGCCAATTTGCTGCTGGTCACGGTCAGTTTGAGTGGGAGTGGGGAACCAATGGGGAACCAAATTAGCACCTCAGCAATAACTTTTTCTAACGAAAAGAATTTTTGCCGCCTACTTGACGCAATAAAATATTCCAATTCTCAATGTTACGCCCTGTGGAAATGCTTTTTGCACTCTAAAAACCTCTTCCCAAGGTTAAGCCATCAACTTTGAGGGAAACTCTGACTAAGCAGCACATTTTGTGACCCTTGGCCAAGCGCGCGGTGTCAAAGTCCGAGTGCAGTTGGTTCAGTTTTGGATAAATGCAGAAAGGTTAGAACTTTATCATGCAAAACGGCTTGCAAAGTGTGCAGCATAAAGCACACTCCACTAAATTCTGCTCAAACACAGACACACATTCAATATGGAAAAACTTTACGCAAAACCCCCCAGCAAACACAACTTTTTGGCAAATATGTGGCAAAGGCTTTTTTTTCTCGAATTTACTCAAAAATAGACTGGGTGCTGCAGGAGCACAGCCAAAGCTCGATAATCCGACCCGGCCGGTGTATAGAAACATTAATAACATTAGCCGGGGTCCCCAACCCACTGAAAGCGAAACAAATGCAAAACAAACTAATCAAAGTTTTGGCCCAGGATCCAGGCAAACGCAAAATAAATTGCTTTATTTTCGAATTCTCGTAGAAAGCAGTGGCCAGAGTCAGAGTCTGTTTCCCAAACGTGAGAGCAAGGGAAAAAATCGAAAATCAATTTCTGTTAATGTATCTGTTCATGGCACTGGCCGTAGCATATTTTTGCATAAAGTTTAGGCAAACATTTTGTGCTCGAAACCCGCATAAATTATGGCACATTCCTCCCCCCCCCCTGTTCGGTGGCCTAATAAACCCTATCTGGAGGATGTCTGAGGCTGGGCGAGTAAGTGGCCCGGTTGCCGCTGCCAGCTTTGCTTATTTTGCATGTCATTTGCGTCTGAGCACTCTCCGGCACAGATACATTGTATGTGGGTGGGGGTTGGCTAAGTCTCACCAGTTTGTTTCCATTTTGTGTGCGGCAAATAAATCTTCCATATTTATAGTTGCGACGATGGCAGCAAGATGGAATTTACCACCAAAACACCCAAGTACAGGACAGTCTGGAATTACCAGTTTCTAGATAAATGTCCAACAAATATTATTGGACGTTCATCGTTGTTGATCTGCAGTTAAAAATGCAATCGAATGAAGAGCAAAATATAGTAAATTCGATTTTTTGGAAGCTTTGACCAGTTACAGAGAATGTTGGCATGGCAGGTGGAAATTTCAGTGGCTGGAAAATGCTTGAATTTCCTTGAAAGAGCATAAAGAATATTCTAGCAGATTCTTTGTTATCCATTAGTTAGGTGGAATTATTCATCGATTCCGTTGAAGAGCCATGGCATATTTATATTTTTTTGCCATTATTTTGAGACGTTTTTCCACTGAAGTTCTTCGGTCTTCGTCGTTGCCTTTCTTTGTTTGGCGGCCGTACGCCGTTGCCGTTCCAGCAACTGTGTAGACAAATTTGTGTGCTGTTCTTCCATTGTTTACTTGGTTCAGAGTGCGTCGTTCCAGCAATCTGAACTCTCATAGCGGCTTCCGTTTCCGTTTCCGGCTTTGTTTTCGTTTCGTTTCGTTTCGCTCGCTCACGCACCAAGTTTCCGCTGCCGTAGATGCGGTAACAGGAGCTCCCTGCACCTCAGGGCTAGCCAGTCAGCTCTCCACATTTGGTGTTTATTTTATTGTACACTTGCTGCCGGCATCTCCGCCGAGCCGTGAACGGTGTGTCGTGTCATCAGCCTCAGAATCACCATCATCATCGCCATTTCCATTGCCATTCGCCCCATCATTGGCCCTGCCATATGGGTGGAGAAATTTGCTCAGAGCCCGTAGACACGGGCTGGTGTGCTGATGTCTGATGTGCAGGTTGTTATTGTCTTCTGGTTGCTTTTTAACGTGTGCCTTTCGTGTTATTTACTTAACAATTTACTGAATAATTTAAACACCTTTTTGCGCCCAGAAGTGGCAAGAGCAGTCAGCATGGGCATATTAGGCTTTGGCACACTGATAACAAATAAATAAATAATGAACATAGAAACAGTTGAGGAAGTTTTAAACCTTATCAGAATGTTTTTCTGAAACTTTTCTCGACATCTTTTGAAGGAAATGCACTTGGAAAATAGGCACTTTTAGGCACCGCTAAGTATCAGCCAGTCGAGCCAACTTTAATTGTCTCTCATATACTTTCCTGTTGCCGCTTCGTTTCCTGTTTGTTGCCTTCCTTTGCGTCCAGCCCAGACTCCCCGTCAATGGGCGTTGAATTATGAGCCTGACTTTCCTTTTCGTGGCTGAAGGAGGCTGGAAAATGGGAATGTCAGTGGGTGGAAACTATCACCCAACCCTACAGAGATGCTCTTCAACGTGTGTGTGTTGACTTTGTCGAGTCTTTGAGTGACATTTAATGCGGTTATCATACGAACATACACGTAGTATCTCTGTGTGTGTGTTGTGTTTGACTGTGTTGATAATGTGCATAATAAGCCTTAATTAATGTTAAATAATGAATTTTCTCATTTACACGCCGTCAGCGTTGAAAAGGCAACACAGCCTTCGGCATATTCTCTGGCGCCGTGTTTCCATTTTAATTCCTTGTCGTCGAGCCAAACACACGACTTCTGTGGCTTTCCAAATATTTACAGGTGAACCCCATGACCCCCACAAAAAACTGCAGACGTCACTGTGGAGGGTTGTTCGCCTGTGCCTGGGCTCACGGATTGGGCCCTGATGGCAACCCCTTTGTTGTGGTCGATCCACCTTTTTTCTGTAAATTGACCAAAGCCGCAACACAAACATTTAAAAAATCTGCAAGTCTTACTTTTGGGCAGTTTGTGTGTTCGGCAATTAAATTGCCTTATCAAAAGGTTTTAATCAGAGTGCGTTGGCGGACCTCCGAAGCATTTGACATTCGTAATTAACAAGACTTTAATTGAATGTTGAACAAATTAATGACAGGCCCCAAAAGATAATTAAGGTTTGGATATGGGTAATTAATGTTCTTCCCGGGTAAAAGTCAGACAATAAATAATAGTTTTGTGTGGAGTAAAAAAGGGAAGACTGTAGATAGTCCTTGCACACCTGGGTAACAAAAGTTTGCCCAGCCACAACATTATTCCCCAGGAATTACTATTGCCCCAAGGAACCCAATCTTCGCCCTAAAACTTTTCGAAGCAAAACCCTTTAAATCGAGCACTTTTATTTATTCACAAGCATTTAACTTAATTATACAAGCAACTTCCCCGCACAACAAATTTCGACTTGGGGTCGAACCGAAACATTGAACTTATCCCAAGATGCGAAATGGAAAAGGAAAAGGAAATGGAAAAGGAACAATGGAGGCAAGTCGTAGCTGGAGCATATAAAAAGTTCAAACTGTCAGAACTTTGACAGCAATATTGTTGAGTTTTGTGTACAACAAGAAGGAATAACTAAAACAGTGCAGAAATTAGAAACAACATACCGAAAATGTCCAAAGAAAGTTTTCCCTTGATGCGATCAACCGGATGCCGGAATATTTTATCCTTTTCTATATGCCAAGCAGGAGCCACTCCAATATCTATACATATGAGAATGCACGTATATATTTATTACACCGAGACACTGATATAATGTGGAGGCCATCGAAAAAAATCTAACTGAGAGACACCAACCACAATTTGTTGCTGTTGTTGTAGCTGATTAGCCCGACTGATTCTGTGGATTTTTATTATATTTTGTTTGCGTTTGTGCTTTTTTTTATGCGGTTTTTATGGGCGCCGATTTGATTGCATTTTGTTTCTGGGCATTGAATAGAATTTTTTCCTGTTTTAGTGGCACTTTCGCTGACAGCCCTTGAGGCAATTATTTCAGTATTTTGTTGTTGTGTGTACCGGAAAGTGTTACAAATAACATTTTTCGTTATATTTTTGCTGGCAAGTGTTTGTCTTGGCCAACTTTCAACGGGTTCCCTGTTTGTGTGTTATTTTTTAATATTTTTCCCCCATTTTGGGTATGCTGTCGCTTGGTGGGTGTTCCGCCCTCTGAGTGGCATGTCAATCAAAATCAATCAAAATGTTCTTTCACTTGACGACGAGTGCTGTCGCTGTCGCTGTCGCTGTAGCTGCCCCTGGAGGTGGAGCTGAAGCTGTCGCTGTAGCTGTTGCTGGGGCACTTGCCACGTTTACGCGCTCGTTAGCGTTTACACATGTTGTTGCACGTTGCTCGCGGTGTTTCCTCAATTTGCGGCAAATGGATTTTTCGTTATTCGCTGCTCAGCTCTCACTACTTTCCCGGCACACACACACACACACACACACACACCGACGACACCCACTCTACAGTCCACTCCACTCCACTCCACTCAGAGCGACGACACCGGAGCGCGTTTTAGTTATCCTAACAAAATTCTCATTGAGGCACGTAGCAGCAGCTCCCGCAGATCCTGTTCCACACTCACACTAACTAACACTCGCACTGAAATCCGCACCCACACACCGGTACACTTGCACGCTTAGCAGCTTCCTGGGGGCCTGACCTACTGGCCGCTTTGTACGGCAACCATTCGGGTATTACCTTACGCTACTTAATTTCTGTGGTCAACTTTTTGCACGGCGCCAGCATGAAAGTGCATTGGGTTTACGCTGAATCGCTTCTCGCACTGCACGACGCCCGCACACAGACTCCGTCCGGCGGTGTGTGCTTCTTGGAGAGAGGGTGGAACGTGGCGCCCGGCTGTGTCTGTCGGTTACGGCGTCAATTTTGAGACTGGCTGTGCCCCGCAACGCTCGGACGACTTTCAGCCGCCAGGCGGCGTCAGCGGTCGTGTCCCAACTTCGGCTCGCCGAAAACTGTTATACGCCATACGCATAAAGAGAGAGAGCGCGTCCGATGCACACGCAGAGACGCCGTTGAGAGAGCGCAGCTGTTAAAGAGAGAGAGCGAGAGAAAGAGAGAGAGAGAGAGCCACGAGAGCGTGTTTCGAATTTGGTGTTTTATTTTTAGTCTGGTTTATCCGTTTCGGGATATGCGATGCACGATTATATGGGAGCAAGTAAAGTGCATAATAAGTGGGATTTATCGAATGTAAATTGAATTGCATAAACATGGAAATAGAAAACGGGCTAAGCAGATATTCAGTATGGCTCTAAAACATAACTCTAAAACATGCCAACTTCCTGTGTTCCCTCACTCCTTCCCGCACATTCAGTGCCGTTGCTTTGTTGTCTATTTTGCTATTTGGATGAGCACCATCAATGCTTTTTGTTGTTTATTCCCAGCACTTCTAGCAGTATAAGAGTTGGCCCAACTGTTCCCAGAAATATCCCGCTATGTCTCTCTTTCAGCGTATATAACAGCTGGACAGCAGTGAGTCGGCGCCGCACTCGAACTCCAACACGAACACGAACCCAACCTCAACTGGCAGCTGACTGAGGAAGTCGTTTAGAAGTCGAACTTTACCACGGACTCAATCCCGAAACTTGCAAAAATGAAGCTGGACCACTGCGATCTCCTCCGGCCAACCCCAAACCAGAATGTCTGATGTCACGGCTGATGTCAGGCAGAGTCCTCCCCTGAGGCAGCGAAAAAAAACATTTTTATTCGGCCAAAACCAAAGACAAGAAAAATGCGAGACAAAGGATGGTTATGGATACGAGTGTAGCCCCTCCCTACCGGCAGGCGAACAGCGAAAAATATCGATTCGGTTCGATTGTTGTTGGCCGCCCACAGCGAATTGTATATTGCTTTATAAGCAGCTTCTGTCTTCAGTCCACTGGCACCTCCGCTGGCCCCTCCGCACTCGCGACATTTGGCAGAGGCCCTGCGGTTGCTTATTTGGCTGCTTTAGTTTTCGCAGTCAAGTCCTTTTCCTTTTCGTTTTCCTTTTGCCGAATGAAAAATTTTCATTTTTCGCTGTTTTCCCCGGCACTCCACAGTGAAATGAGTAAACAACCAATGAAGCAGATAGAAATGTTTATTGTTATTCCTTGGCAAAAGAAAAAACCCCCCGAGTGGCCCGGCGGTCATTCAAATCAATTCTATAGGCGCACAGCAGCAGCTTCTATTTGCATCTGTTTCGAGCTGTTTCTGTTTCTGTTTCTGTTTCTATTTTCTGCTCTTGCTGTTCCTGGGATAAAGGACAAGATGGTCGCTGGTAGAACATTAGTGTGGCTGAAGCCACAGCCGCATAATAATTATTGTCGCTAAGTAAACGCACCTTGGAGCGGAACATGGCTGCTCCGCGGTGGTTGTGCTCCTGCTTGTGCCGCATAGTTTGCGTCGCATTAAAACTATTTAAGTTTTTAATGCCCTAACAGCGATGATCTTGTGCCTGGCATATAAATTACTGCACAGCCTTTGCATTAACGCAACTTCAAAGGCTCTGGGAGAGCTGCAGGAGAGCCTCCCGGAGCCCTGCCGCATGTTGAGCACTTTGCCAAAGTTTTTACTTGGCTCGTTGTTGCCTTACAGGGATTTATGTTTAATCGGCCAAAGGTTACTTCCACTCAGATGGCACACAAGCGCGGGGGTTCTGCCTTACCATTATCGACAGAGTGAATGATAGACAGCGAGAGGGAGAGAGAGAGTGTTGCTTGCACTGTCAGTTATTTGGGTCCTTGCATATCACCCATGACAGAGCTGAATGGTTTCCCCAACCCGTTCAACTTTACGCAGAAATTCCTCAAAGTTCAGCTAAGTTTCATACAGATTGTTGAACCGCTAATGGCCGGGTTTATAACTTAAGATCTTCAAAGAGTTGTTGAAAGTTCTGAGGATTGCGTTGACTTTATGGGTTGCCAGGCAGAAGGATCTGCGGGCTAGACAAAGCCAACTAGAAACATGAATATTGTCTTTAGCAGTTGAAAATCCCAAGGAACATATCTCTAAATGTAATTGTAACTCAATGCCAAGCTTTAACAACACTTTAAGTCAGCCAAACGCTTTGCAATTTTATCTGTACACATTTTCAAAGGCTGCTCCAAGACCCCACCAATTAGGTAACGACAACAACTACAACTGCATTTGCTTTATCCCCATCATGGATGTTCATTAGTCTGCTACTGACCCTCCTATTTAGTTGGATAAACTGCAGCAATTGTTCCCTGCTCTGCACCGCTCTGCTCAGGTAGGGCCACCAATAAGGCAACTTTACGTGGAATTTAATTGAAGGACTGGCAGCGACATTCCCGCCAATCTATGTTAATTAAAGTCGCTCCGGGTAGGGATCAGAAACATATACCCTTGGTAGAGCCAACATTGATTGCGATGCACCATAGCTTTCGGCGCAGCTCTTTGATTTGTGTCTAGACGCAGGAGCGCGTGTCGCCGCTGGAAAAAATAGACAGGAGCCAGAGAGCTTTTGGGAAATTCATGGCCAAAGCGAAAGTTTATTAGATGCTCTTTGCTGGCTGTCTCTCTGTCTGTCTATATCCCTGCTAGCTCTCTATCCGTGTTTGCGTCCATGTCCTTTGTGTTTGCTGGCTTTTGCCACGCTGGCAGAATTTTAATTTCCGCCAGGCGCGTGTGGCACGTGGCCGCACTGTCGAGGAAGTCAAAGCCAAAAGCCGCCTTTTGAATTACAGCCAAGTGGCAGGCAAGCCGTAGGCGTTCTGCCATCAACTTGTCCTCTCTGTAATTATGGCCCCCGCTCTAATTAAAAGTCAAAATAGTTGACCTTGGCGCCTGGCAACAAATTTGCGAGCAGAAAAAGTGGCGCAAAAACTTGCTAATATTTATGGAACTAGTTGGCGCTGTCTTTTATTTACGTTTCTGACGCATTGAAGCGTTCAATGCACTTTAAATATTTGCTCAAATATTCCCCAGCTCGATTCGATTCCGTTCTGTTTCCCCTTGTTAATGCTATTGTTGTGCAACTTTTGTACAAAATATTTTACGCCCCACAATTTCCTGGCAAAATCTACGGCTACATCTGCATCTACATCTTTTTTGCACCATTTTGGTTGCTCCTGTTTAGACGGAAAGACTCGCAGACAGACTGTCCGACACACACACACACAAACATTTATGAGAACGGCTATTGGCATGGAGCCATGGCCCAAAGCCTTCGTGATGCAGTTGGCTCTTTTGGTTGCTTTTTCCCCATTCGGCATTTGCCGCTTTTGTTTCGACTCGCAGGCACAGCGGACGAATTTCTATTACCAAAACTTTGTATGTACTCTATAGGGATATAAAAATGTATATAAATCGGTCGCCAAACCGAACATCTATTTTCCAGTCAATGTGCGAACAGCTCTACAAAAAGAGTTTATGCGCAATGAGAGGCTTTGCAGGAGGTTTCCAGACTTGCAAAATTATGGGAATATCCTTTGCTTAGATTTGCTTTTAAGTTCAAGAAAATGAACATCGGCATTCAGCATTTGTTGTTTCTGTTCGGAATCAAAAGTTTGCCTTGAATAAAATGATTTTATTTTGTATCTTGTTCCTGGTCTTGCATTCCGATTCATGTGCAATAGAGCAGTGGCCGTTCGTTGCTTTTTGGCATTCAAAGATTCTCTCAAATTAATACTTAAAATGCGCTGCGTTGTCAGGCTGGGATTTGTCTGGCTGCTCTGCCTGCCAAATGGGAAAAATGTTCGCTCCGCCGATTCCATTTTGGCACGGATTGCATAACAAATGCTCGAGGAGCAGGAGCCAGGAGCCAGCAGCCAGGAGAATGGCACTGGGAATCATAGTTGCCAGGGATTGAAGCTGGCAAAAAGGTGCCAGATCCAACTTGTTTAATGTGAAAATGCTTGCAATTAAAGACACATCTTGTGAGCACATGCAGATGGGAAATGTGGGCAGACATTCGTTCAGGATGCTTCAGAAAATGAATCATCTCAATGGAGTATTTAGACAAGAAGATGTCCTAAGTGGCGGGAGCATGCAGGTGGCACTTGAGATGGTTTGCAACTCGAAATATAAACTGAAGTAGGCAATTAGCAGCCCTTTAACGGGAAAGAATAAAAGCCAGGTTAAATAGCTCAGGGAAGTGCTCGGAGTTCTGGCTAATTGCAGGCCATTGAGGCTGAAGGAGCGGCGGCTGAGCTGGTTAAAAACTTTGCGAACATTTGGAACGGTCGTCGAGTGGCCAACAATAAGGCCAAACTTCAATGACTGGCACACATTTAAGGCATGTATATAGATAGGCACACACACTCGAGCCGAGATATAATCTAAAGATGTTCACAAGTGTGCCACAACTGCCAAAAAGACATGAAGGTTAATTGCGTTGCACTATGGCTCGGGGCAAGGCATTGTATCTTGTATCTTGTATCTTGTATCTCGTATGTTGTATCTGCATTTGAGCATCTCCCATATGAGCTCTCTGGCATGTGTGGTTGTGGAAAATAAATTACATTTGTGCTGGCTGCCAAGAAAATTGAAAAATTCTGCTTGGCTGGCATGCATTTGGCCTGCAGCCGCAACCAGTCACAGTTTTCCAGTCACACAAAAACTGTCGCCCTGAGAACTGCTGCTGCTCTTCTCTCTGCATGTTTCAGCATTCACCTTAATGCATATATGAATCAACTGTGAGGGAAAGTGCCAGCTTCTGAATAATTCCAAATGTATTTGCATTGTCTGTGTGACAGGCTTCCATTCGATTCGCCAGTCTTTGACACAAAATATTTTACACAAAGCAATTAAAACAAAAATGGCAATTTTGTGTGCAGGCTTAAGCAGGAATTTAAGGCTGCTAAGTCCTCTCCAGAAGGATACTTCCTGCCCTCACACGTGCTTGTTATTCCTAATACCTG